CTGATGCGTCCTCTTGCCCCCTTGTAAATATTCATGGGCAGGGCAATAAAATCCGGGAGGGAATTTGATTCACCTTTGTTATGCTTTATGTCAAAACTGAACAAAGAGAACAAACGTGGCTTGCAAAGGTCTAGCATCGATGGGAAGGATAGAGACTTGACTATAAGTTCTTTAAAAATCTTGGATGGTATACAGCGGCGGATCTAGGGCTGGGCCAATCCGGGCCACGGCCCAGCCTTCCTCCGGATACAGAGCTAGTATAGTACTTATAAATTTTTTGATTTTATGTATTCGACTCAGTGCTATTTAAAAATTGGTTTAGTGTTATTCGATAATAGAATTTTGTGTAACTAGGGTCCAGATAAACATATCTAAACCACTACTCTAAATTTAGCGTACAAAATCTAGCCCGAATGATTTTCATTTGAAAAAAACAATAAAATCTAAAATTCTAAACATAAAAGACTAAATATAAAGTTTCATTGAAATAAAAAATCTCTACAAACTAAAGTTCACCCTGTCAAAACTCAAAAAAATTCTCCAATCCCCCCTAAACAAAAACAAGAACAAGAGACGAATGAATCCGAAATAGATTCCTCCGCCAGTCTGTCGGGTGCTCGTTTTCTTTTCCAAATTGGCATTGTAATGAATGAAAATTAATAAATTATAGTTATTACATATATTTTTTGTTTACGGTATCCAATATTCTATTCAAATGCGGCCTAGTGTTGTACTATATCCTGGATCCACCGCTGATGGTATAGATAATATATGAAGTTTCTATGCACGTATAAGTAAGTTAGATGCGGGAAAATGAATCGGTTAGCATAAAAACGAATGTCAAGGTTCGGTCTAAAAGTTTTAAAATAACTCGACTCTATTCGATACTGAACAACGTTATTCCTATCACCAGGTACACTACATAATCTGATCAATTTGGTATATGAACTCTTTATAACATGATCTTGCCTCCACAAACAGCCGAAAAAGAGTTTGGTCAAAATCACATGATCACGATCATATCATATGCTTGGGTTTTTCTTTTGTTTGTGTGTGTTATCTTTTGGGCTTTCTGGTACTTTTGAGATCCCACGGGGCATGCTGGGTAAAATTTGTGAAGGAAAGAATTGCTAAGGTAAGAAAGAAAGATTGCTACAAGAATTCCACACAAACACCATTCCAGTGGGCTGTGTCTCGGTGGTTTTGGCAAAAGAACTATTTGTGTCCATTATTCCAATAGTACGCAACAAATCTTATCGCACGTACAAAAATGGATTCGTTCGCACAAATGATTGGTTGTTGACGATGGATGATTTGTTTACAGTAATAGGGTTCTAAATTATAATCTATAGTATTGTTGGTTTGTTTTATTCCTTTTTTTCTAATTACATGTTGAGCTATATATAAGCTATATACGTTAAACTTAACCAATTAAGTTGGTACAACATTTATTAAATTGCACTAGCAACAATAATTAAACGGATCAAAATTATCAAAAGGTGACTCTTTGGTAAGTTATGAGAGCCGACTCGTTGTGCTTCTGAATTCAATTCTCATGATTAATTATTATAATAATTTTTTTATGGTTACCATTAAGTAGAGCTGTAACTTCGAATCATCCGCTCACACGAATTTGTCGAGTATTCACGAGTATCAAGATTAAACGGATGAAATAGAAGGGACCGGTTACTATGACAACACCCCTTGTGTTGTTATTGTAACAACACTAGTCTCCAACCAATAGGAAGCTAGGATTGTGATGACTTTTTATTAGATGAGTTGACCTAGTGTAAAATCAAAGCAGGGGTATAATTGTCATTATGAAAAATCTGTTTAAATAATTAAAAATAATTTTTTTTTATTTTCTGCCCAAAAATTTGGTCGCCGGAATTCTGCCACCGGTCGCCGAAAACTGGTCGTCGGTCACCGGAATATGCTTTTTGTCGCCGGAATATGATATTTGTCGCCGGAATATGCTTACCGGCGTCGGAATCTAGTTATTGGGGCCGGAATATGCCTATCAGCGTCGGAATCTGCTCACTGACGGTCACCAGAATTCGGTTAACGAACTTCGTTGACCGGTCAACGGTCAACGACCACCGGATGTATGGTCTACATTGTGAGATTTATGGTTTGGTTTCTCATATTTTCGTATGCCTTTTGTGGTTTGCTTTATCGTGTTTGTGGTTTGCATTAAGAAGTTTTTGGTTTGCTTTATCGTGTTTGTGGTTTGCATTGAGAAGTTTCTGGTTTGCTTTCAAAAACTTTGTGGTTTGCATTGTGAGGTTTCTGGTTTGTTTTAATATATTTGCGGTTTGCATTAGGACGTTTATGGTTTGCTTTTTTGTGGTTTGATTTACTGTGTTTGTGGTTTGCATTAGGAGGTTTCTGATGTGCTTTCGCAAATGTTGTGGTTTGCTTTGTGAGGTTTGTGGTTTGTTTTAGGAGATTTGTGGTTTGCATTAGGAGGTTTCTGGTTTGTATTAAGAAGTTTCTAGTGTGCTTTCGAAATTTTTGTGGTTTGCTTTGCGAGGTTTCTGGTTTGTTTTAATATATTTGTGGTCTGCATTAGGACGTTTTTTGTTTGCTTTACCGTGTTTGTGGTTTGCATTAGGGGGTTTCTGGTGTGCTTTTCAAAATATTTACGGTTTGTTTTGTGGGGTTTCTGATATGTTTTAGCGAATTTGTGGTTTGCATTAGGAGGTTTACGGTATGTTTTTTGTGGGTTGTTTTATTGCGTTTGTGATTTGCACTAGAGAGTTTTTGGTGTTAGAAATATTTCATTGGGAATGAACACAGATATACACAATTTCCCATCTAACAAATTTCTCTTGATCAACAAACCAATTCCTCACTGACAGCCCTAAAGATAAACAAACAATTTTCGATCAATCCAGAAAGCCAGTTTTCCGCCAAATTGCATTCCTTACCTGTTTAAGATCCCTCCCCTTAAGCGTCCTCTCGGCGCCTTCCAGCACCGGGCAGGACAGAATCGGGGATTGCGTCCTAGCCACGATCTCGTGCGGGGGAAGCATCTCGCCGCCGTAGCCTTCATCCTCGTCCAACAGCTCATCAATCACGTCGAATTCCCTGTTCCGCTCCTCGCCATCGCGGACGCGAGGATGGGAACGTTGATTGGCGCCGACTGCTGGTGCTGGTGCCTGGAGAAGGAGGAGGCCGACGGCAACCTATCCTGCGGCGGTTTGGGGATGAGTCGCGAGGAGGAGGGCAAATTCGATGAGGGCGATGCGGCGGAGGAGGAAGGAGGAGGAGAGGAGAGAGCGGTTTTCTGGTACAAGTGATGGTGATGCCCGGCGGCGGAGATGTTCTCCGGCAACGCCGCGAGGATTCCGAACGAATCGGGGAAGGCCTTGTGGCGCGGCGATGTCGAGGGAGAGCTGCGAAGGTAGTGGTGTCTTTGCTGTTGTTGATTTCGGGAGGAATTGGAGGAGAAGTCGCCGGTGGAGAAGATGTCGTCCTCGTTGAGCTCGCTGTCCTCGGCGGCGGCGACGAGGATGCTGTCCTGCGCCGGCGGGCGGCAGGGATGTCGCGGTGGCCGGGCTGAAGAACGAAGAAGCGTCTGATAAGTATTTTTATTTTTATTCTGTTATTAAATTGTCATTTTACTATATTGTCCTTGTTGTTATAATAACAATAAATAGACTGTTGTTATACTATCCGGAGCCGAAATAGAATATTGTTATGCAGTTTGATTTTGGGGTCAGGTTTCATCAATCGAGAAGGATTATAGTTTGTTGTTTTTCTGAAAACTTGGCAAACCATTAGGGTTTTCTTTCTAATATTAGAGCAAGCCATTAGGTTGAGTAAAGATGTTTCTGTTCTAATTCATTCTCCAGCCTAAAACAATTGGCTTTTTTAATTTTGCATTTTGGTGCCTATATGAAAGCATTGGCTGAGAAAACGGAAAACCGCTTTCCCGCCGGAACAAAACAAGAGGAGGAAGGAGAGGAGAGAGGATTCTAGAACTTCACGAGCCTGCCCAAACGTAAGGTTGGTTTTGCCCAATCTTTCGCTCTCTTTTTTCACTACCAAGCAAACCGGCCATGACAGAAATCATCTCTCGAATAATAAAAACACATGAACTAAAAGCCACAAAGGTAAAACTTATGGCCGAGAATCAAAGCTTGGTCTTACACCATCAATTACAAAAACGACGCCGGCTTCTTTGCTGGATTGAAAAATTGAAGGATTGGAAAAAGTTAGAAAACGAAAATAAGGACAAGCACTACACACAATTTGCATGGTTCACTAACACAATGTGTATTAGCTAGTTCACGGATAGAAAGAGAGACCATTTCACTATATTTCGAGAGATACAGATTGCAGGAAAGTATGAGAAGTATTTGTATTACTTCTCCATGTGGTCTAACCCTCATCCAATCTGGTAAAGAAAAGCGGTTACAATCAGACCCAGAGCAACAACCCAAACATGTATCGACCCCCAAACACCATAGACATGGGGCGTTGCCCCCCGAGCCTCCACCGAGGGAAGCATCGCTCCCTCGAACCCCTGACGGGGGTGTTGCCCTGGACCCCACTCGCTGACCGAGCAAGGAGACTTCCGTGACATCCAATCGTAGCCAGATAGTCTGATTCAAGTCACAACAACACCCAAAACCAACCACCAGGGCTTTTGAACAACTATATATGCAGTAATTGAAACTTACTCCCGCATAGGATGAATTTAACGGAACTGGTCGTTCGATGATTAAATGAGATATAAAATCAGTCACTAGTAAAAAAGAAAAAGTTCTAAATAACAAACATGAACTTTTTTTCATAAATCAAATGAACAAAGGTGTAATTCAATCATGTTTTTTCTTGATCCATAACTTGAACTGGAATTTGCATTAATTTTTCGATATTGAGTTTTCGAAAAATCTTATTGATTTCAATAACTCTAGCTATCTGTGAAATATAGTTATACTGGTCGGTCACATGAGGCTCCCCTATAAAGCCAACCTTTTTTTCCAAATGCCAACATTACTAGCAAGTAGCATCCCTCCACCTGAAAAAAAAAAAAAAAAAAACAGAATCCTCTGTTCTTCATTCCTCCCCATTCCCAAAAACAAAATGAAACCCTCAATTCCTCGTACGACATTCCCTCTTCCTCTCCCATTCCTCATCCTCCTTCTCCTCCCCGCCGTCGTCCGCTCCGGCGACCTCATCGAGGAAGTGTGCAAGAAAACCCCATTCTACGGCCTCTGCGCCGCCACTCTCCACTCCAATTCCTCCGCCGCCGCAGACATCAAATCCCTCGCCTGCACCGTCACCAACTTCGTGCTCTCCAACGCCACGGACACGCTGTCCTACATCCAGGCCCAATTGAAGAAAGAAAAGGATCCCAAGGCCGAGAAGGCCCTGGCCAATTGCGCCGAGCTCTACATCCCCGTGGTGAAATACAACCTGCCGCAGGCGATCGAGGCCTTCTTCAGGGGGTACTACGGCTTCACCAAGTACGCGCTCTCCGACGCCGCCAAGCAGGCCGACGCTTGCGAGGACAAGATATCCGGCGCCGGCGCCGGCGGAGGAGAGCTGAGCGCGAGGAACAAGGTGGTGAGCGATCTGTGTGGCGTCGGGGCGGCAATTGTTGGACTGCTGATGAAAGTCGGAGGCCGAGGGTTGAAAGTTTGACTGGCTGGCTGTTTAATTTTCTTACATGGGGTTGTTTTTGGATTTTTTATCCACGTGTCAGATAATTAGTGGCTGATAGGTTTCTTTTCGCCTACTTTTGTGTTTTAGCTTTTTTTATCGGCTTGCCAGCGGCGTTTTTATTAATTGGAGGTAGTGTAGTGTAAACGTGTCGTGCTCTGGGAACACGAGAGAGACACGGTGGTTGATGTCGAATTGTCGATAATGTGGTTTTGGTATTATTATTGCGGTTTTGTATAGTGTTTATTCAGATTAATGAGTTAAATTATTTTTCGTGTTTGTGTATTAATCAGAGTAATTAATGATTTTTTTATATAAATAAAGGAAAAAGAGCTCGAGATTTCACTGAACGGGCCTAATTTCTTGGCGGCTAACCATAGAAGCCAGGTTATTAGTCCTTAATCCTTTTGCGATATGGGCTTTTGCCATCACATGGCGTTTCATCTAATGATACTTTGGGCTCACGTCTCATTTTATAGATTAAGCGCCGTAGGGCTCCCCTCACCCAATCCACACAGATTTGGGTCTAATCAGATGCACCAAGCTGGTCAACCCAATTTAGCCCGGTTGAGCCGATCGAGCAAGTGGGTTGAGAGTTAATGATCCTATCGCTTTAGTCCAGTTTAGCAGGGATATACGAAAAGTTATTATATTGTACATACATTTATAAATTATATAAAATATAATATACGGTTCAGCCCCTGTGTCCGCTTTCGCGAGTTCCGCTAGCTTACATCACACTAGCCCGGAATTGTTAGAGCGGATGTTCCTTTTCGAAGAGCCGAATCAAAGTATAGTGTTGAACTCTGCTGGGCCGACACTGACACTGAGAGACGAAAGCTAGGGGAGCGAATGGGTAATAACATATAATATTACAGTCAAATTATAACATATAATATTACACCAAAATAACAATTCATACTTGGATGCGATATACAGTCAAATTTCATACACACTCTTATAACTTTGACATTCAAATATTTAAGTTAGAATTTCAAAGATAGGGTTAGACGAAGGAAAAAATCGGAAAGAGACGTGATTCACAAAACAAAGGGGAAAAAACGACTTCGTGTGACCTCTAACCCGAAAACCTTACCGCGGGTCGACTCGTGGGCGTGTGGCACTCGCTTTCCTTATCGGGTCAGGGTCAATCCAGATCAACCGGGTCAATAACCTTGAGATGCATCTATCCAGTTCAATAAAATTCTTGAAACTCCGAGTTGTGAGGAGAATGCATGTGATTAGGGTTGTTGGTTAGGGTTCGGTTTTTTGGTTAATCGAAAATCGAACCACTTATTTCCTATTAATGGTTTTTTAGATCGGTTTGAAAATTGATATCTCTTGCCACTTACCTGTTGAGAGACAAAAACAAATGAACTAGTTTGATTTTTCAATTCATTCAGATCAAACGCATGCATTAAATGGTTCGTTGTTCACTCTCAAAAGCGCATAATGCATATTTTTGTTTTTGTTATTAACATTTCTGTTAACATAATCGATCTGACGGAGAGAGGCTCAATAAGATAAGTTAATCGGAGTTCCCGGAAGGAGGTCCCACCATTTACTTGACTCTTAGAACCTTTGTTGGTTTTGGGCAACGGGGATCAACTTCCAAGATAGGAAAGGGCGATCCATCTATTTATTTGAAAGATCAGTTTGATCAATTAATGAATTTATTCTTCCTGTAAATATACAAAAAGGGATATTAGACATATAGGGTACGAAAAGTTTCCAACATATAACAGGTTTTGACCAAAACAAGGGGAAGCCAACATCTTGAGGGAGTGATCCCAATCTATCCCATATATTACTCTTTAGAACTCTTTGCTAGCTGAGGCTATGAAGGCTTTCCAACTTGCTTCAATTAGGGAAGAACTATGAAGCATTTTAGAATATTCTATTCACTTTTTCGGCTGGATCAGGGCCTTGCTATTTTTCGGTCTGAAAAAACTTTATTTAATAGACAGAGAGGGGCTTTTTTCGAAAGGCTGACCAACCTAGTTAATCTCGAATTTCATATTGAAAAAGGAGGAGGCACATCAAGGCAGAAGTCGAATCAAGCAAAGATCCTCTGACATTAGCTAGTAGCAGCTTTCATGGGACTTGTAGTTGCTTCTTTTAGAGAAGGCTTGGCTCTATTTATGCACTTCGGGAAGAGCGGACGGAAAGAGGAGGCCTTTGCTCTATCTGCTTCTTCCTCTTCCCAAGAATGAAGAATCTTTAAAATACAAGAAGCAAGCGACCCTTTCGCGAAAAAGCCGGTACGCTTTCCAGCTCGCGACGACTCAAACAGGCGGGGGCTCTCTATTTGCTTGCAATGCCGGTTATTCGCCTATTTGATTCAAAAGGCAAAGTCAAAGAATTGAGGGAATTCTCTCTCTTTTTTATACAAAAGGGGTTCACTAGGCGTACTAATTTCATTCGATAGAATGATGATAAATTTATCACTCACTAGGGGAAGCGCGGACGAGTAGAAGACTTGGGTGTACGTAGTTCAAAAGAACCGTAGGGAGAAGGTGCGAAGTTGCTCGCATTTGAATTAGAAAAAGAAGGAGAGGAGGGGAATATGTTCGACCGTAGGGAGAAGGTGCGAAGTTGCTCGACTGAAAGGAGAGGAAGGGAGTATATGAGCCCGAAGGTTTAAAATATGTTCGACCGTAGGGAGAAGGGCGAAGGGGCTTTAGAGTTAGGGCTCGTATGCATAGCAGTAACCTGTCTCAAAGATGGCAACACTATGTAGCGGTGTACGATAAGTCTAAAGGTCTCGGTAGTTTTTACATCGAATGGTGGATCGGAAGGGGGCCTTCCCCAATAGGAAACGAAGAATTTTCGAGTATCTGAAGGTTAAACTGAAGCCAAAACAACTTCGGATTGTACCAGAAGGGATCGCCTACCATACCCGCTCGGTCTGTCTGGTCGAGAGGGATTCTTCTGACAATGAAAGCATCTTAGCACTTGAGTCCTTCCTTCACGTCCTTATACAGGTCTCACAGCTCTAGGAGTACCTAAAAGAGGGCTCATCGATTGGGGGAGTCCACCATAAAATCATGGCGAGGAGGTCCCGTGGATCATTGCAGACCATTATTTTACTATAGGGAAATGGTCTACAAATTTCAGACCATCAGTGGAGATTTTCTCCAAAACAATGGTTTGGGTTCGTTTCCCTAAGCTACCAATCGAGTACTTATTCTTGATTTTGAAAGAGGTTTTAATCTGGTCTCGAGGAGATTAGCGGGAAGCAGTGTTTATGAATCTCCTCCTTTTATTGTAGGTGATGAACTTCTTTTTGTTCAAGGGGCTGGTAGAAAGATTCAGGTTGTGAGAGGTGCGAGTGAGCAAGGATTTCAATTTTTAGAGCTAACCCAATATGTCGATCAAATAAAACATACTTTAGGAAAGTTGTTGAGGTAGCTCAGCTGGTTAGAGCAAAGGACTGAAAATCCTTGTGTAAGTGGTTTGAATCCAGTTCTAAGCGGGTGAAGGGTCCAAAGGACACGTAGCCGGGAGCAAGCCGGATTTTAAAATTCAAGTGAAAGAGTCAGCCAATAAATTTGAGCGCTCCTGCACTATACGGCTTTTTGGTGTCCCCCCTATCTTGTCTTGCCGGAGGCAGATTTTCTAAAAAAAGAGGTTGATTATTCGGATTGGTTCTCGTATCCCTGTGCCCAAAAGGATGGGCGAGTTCGAAGCCCTTACTCGTGCTGCAATCAGGCTTGGCACCTTCCCTTATTCTCCTTCCTTTTGGTAGTGCTAAGTAATACAAAATCTCCTATGGCTATTAAGGATCCCCTTTCACCTGTGTGATGCCCTCTTTTTTAGGAATAATAAGAAAAATCTCAAGATCTTCTAAAGAAGGCTGGTGTAATGGTTTCTGATATACACAGGGAGAAAATCTTACCTCCGTTTTCAAGTTTCAGTCTTTCCAGTGGGCAAGCAAGTTTCCTCTTACTTAAGTAAGAGTAAGCTCCCATCGGGGAGTCCGCCAAACTGCCCGCCAAATGGGATGTGTCTGCGTAGTCGATTGCATCTCGGCGGTGATTTCATATGCTGACTTGAAAGAGAATCTCCCGTCGGGAAAAATCCCATCATGATAGATTGAATCGACGACCTATACTTAACTAAAGGCACAAGGGAATCAAGAGTTCAAGAGCACAGAACAGAGGAAATGCACATGGGTCTCCTTGAAGAATGAAGTCTAAGATAAAGAAAGAAAGGTAGAGTGGGCGCACTTTTGCTCTGCTTGGATTGGCATGGCTGTCATAATTGGCTTGTAGGAGATAGATAAGAAGGATTGACGCCAAGACGGAGATGCAAGCTTGATATCTGTCTCTGCCTCGAGCAACTTCGTCCCTGATTGACTGACCTTGCTTTCACTCTAGCTACCTATTTGACAAGTCAAGTAATTCTTTGGGGATAAGCCCTTCCTTTCACCTCAGGAGAAGAAGTCCCAACTCGGCACGTATCCAGTACTCTAAACAAAAGACGCCAAAAGACCTCTCTTTGTCGATGCTATCACCCTTCTACTCCCATCGGAGTTCTTCCTAATAGCTTCACTTTGCTCCGCTTCGTTCGTACCTTCTATCGCTTACATTTCGTTCTTTCATGGTATTTCATGGGCAGAAGCGAGCGCTTCTATCTGCTTCTTATTATGATGGCTATGTTGGCGTGGCGAAAAGCGACGATATGAACGTGCTATTTTCAAATCGATTGATAGAAGCCTGCTTTTCCGTCCTGATAGAAGAGTAGGAATGGATAGAGAGGTAATCTATCAAAGGTGCGTAGCCTATTTCTATCTATTAATGAGACAACTCTCTATTTGATCCATCACTATTGCGTTGCCCATGGGGATGGGGTAGCCCCGACTTCCATAGGTCCTTGGTTCGACCTCCCAATGAGAATTGAGGTCCTTGCGCGGGCGTCTCATCCCTAAGACTTGCTTGCTCTGTAAGGAGAAGTTATCAATATGCTCGACTGAAAGGAGAGGGGGAGAGTTCGCGGGGGGATGGGCGGCTTATAGCCTTGAAAGGCATACAGAATAGTGGAAGTACCACTCAATACCAGCTAAAACTTCTCCAGCACTTCCCGCTCCAAAATGACAAACGTCTTCAATTAACGTTTCTTCTTAGGAAAGCCAAATCGTTTACAACAAGAGATCAACCCTGGCAGACAGCCATGTTCCAACCCGGCAAAAGGCAAATAAAAAGCCCACTAGAATACCAACTGAGGCATCTAAAGTCTAGGTAATCTCAGCCATAAGGTTGATGGCTATCTAGATTCCTTCTCTAGATCGAATGAGACATATGAAATACTAGCATAAAAGTGCTTCAGCAACAATTCCACCACTGATGGTGACGACTTGTGGGTTATACCCGACCTTGTTTGTTTTGAATCCCTTCCCATGTCTTACACAAAACTGCTAGTCATTAAAAAAACAAGAAATCGACCCAATAAGTTCTGAGAAATCAAAGTAATGCACATGGTTACATATTCTACTCTGGGGTTCCATTCTTTTCTTCAACCATAGAAAAAGATGTGAGCGATCCAAGTAGATGAGTGAGCGTGAAGTTAGCATCTCGTTGAGTTTTATTAAGGCGCCTGATGATGGTTGCTAACAGATTGGACAGAAATTTGAATTCCCCCTGTTAGACTAATAATTTTGAACTTTCCCCTGCTATAGACTAATAATTTTGTTCGGTAGAAAGATAGAAGTTATTGCGTCTGAGCTCATATTACTGATAGAACGGTGTGCTAATCCTAAACAAAAGCTGCATGCAAAAAGATAACATGTAAATGCACGTGCTCAATCAACATGAATTATGCAGTCCCATTAAAAGACTACACCGCTGGCCAGGTAAGATTTGCTCCCCTGCCCTCACCTGAGAAATATAATGGAAGTCAACTTCAACTTCAACAGTAGATTAGGGCTCCTATCTTGTAACTTCCAGTTACAAGAAATGGTTCATACCCAAACAGATTAGGATGTGACAGAATACAAACAGATGAGGAACTTTGATGCTCATTGTACAACGTCGACGACATAAACACATTCGCCGAACTCGAACCACTTGAACGGTCCACCGTGATGGTCTGCATTCTTCCCTGATCTTCTCTGCTCCAAGACATCAATGGTTCAAAACCCTATTTTGCAGATTGACCATACAAATCGAAAGATAGTATGTACAAGATAACATTATGTTATTGAAAATTAGTGTGGCCAAAACCCAGCTGACATAACTACCAACTTCCATTCATCTCACTCTCACTCACATACACAGCAACAAACCTGCCATCTTTCCGCTGCAAATGTGTCGCCAAACACAGCCACTTCTTCATCAAATGTATAGCTCTGAGACTCTCTACATTACCCTCTTCCTGCTTCTTTCCTTTGTCCATCAACCCGGTGAATTCACCGGAATCTACTAATCTTTCACAGTCCTCGTACGGAGAAGTAACAAAAAAAGAAATGGGGGAAAGGTTGACAACTTGCAGAAAATGGCAAGTTTATTATCTCTACCATAAATCCTGTATGTTAATAACTGCCTGATCAAACACTCAACCGAGTCGTCTTGCTGAATCCGGAGGATTAACATCCGAGCTGCAAAATTGATACGAATGATAAGACAGTTACTTACTAGTTAACCATGAGCAGTTCACCTCGCTAATAAGGAAGAACAAAGAAGAGGATAGACAAACCAATGATTAACATACTTGTGAGAACCAGAGCTCAGACTGACAGGGCCATTTACAGAGGGAACCCCAAAGTACTGAACCGATATAAGATCGTTGTCCATCATTCTAGATGGTTCAGGGGCCGTCTGTAGATCTATCGGTATAATCCTCGACGACATTCCTGCAATAGCAACACCCCAATGTACAGGGTTCAAAAAACATGGCTCACAACAATGCAATAACTTCCGTTGGTTACACATTCTGTCAATAACCAACTCATTTCCATAACAGTTGTTATACAATTTCCTTGCTACAATAGTTACCTTGACAGAGTATGACCAGGAAGAACAGGACAGTGAACACCATAGCAAACAGATTGCCCGTCGAAGAAACCGGGGACTGCTTTGCTACTTTGGCCTTCTTCATAGCCTTAATCCTCTCGATCCTGGCGCGCTTCAACATGGCGAGCTCCGAGATCTCCTTGATGAGCTTGAGATCAGCTGCGTCCAGCGAGGGGCCTCGTGGTGGCCGCGGTGGCTTTGGTGACTTCTTATGTGGGCTGCTGCTTTTCCTGCGTTGCTGTTGCTGCTGCTTCTCGTCCGAATGATCACTGCCACTACTAGCAGTAGTCTCGTTGCTGTCCTCCGATTTCGCTTGTTGTTCGCCATCCGAATTCGTTCCTCCTCCATTCCCACACAAGAGCTTCTGCCCTTCTTCCTCCCCTTTTGCCAAAACACTGTATACTTTGTTGAACAACGATCTCACGCCATTGCCGGGCGAAGGAGGAGAAGAAGGTTCCCCTGCTCTGCCAGTGTTATTATTGTTTGGCCCGCTTTCCAGATCAACGTAGAAATCTCTGCCTGTATTATTATCCTCCATCTCCATATCCCAAAACCCAAAAAGCGGAATCTTTCCCTTCCTCTCTCTAGAACAAGCTCAAGAAATGCATATATATTATACTTAACAACAAAAAGAAATTGTGGTAATTTTGGGATTTCCCCTATTTCCCTCTCGGCTTTCCTCTACAAGAATGAATTTCCTCCCCTAATCGACAACCTGCAATCCGGTCGACGGAATCGCGCACTAATCCACCTTCTTTAGCATTCGAAGATCAGAAAATTCTCCTCAAACCTAAAAAAAAAAAAAGCGAAGAAGCCGTAACTGAATCAGAACAAGAAACCTCCATAACCAACATTCAAAGCATTGAAACAGATAAAATCGGAAGAAATGCCGCTATGTCCGAATCAAAACCCTAGGAAAAAACTTCGCCGGCGGAATCGGAATTACCTTGTGCGTGAGAGAGAGAGAAGGAGGAGGAGGGAATGGCGGATCCGACGAAAGGGCGAGCGAGGAGAAAGCACACGGAGGCTATCAAACATGGAGAATTTTGATAGCCCGAGGAAAGAAAGAAAGGGAAGAAAAAGAAAAAAAAAATACCAGAAGGCTTCTAGATTTGTTGTTGTTAATTGCAGAAATTGAAACAAAAAAAATTCCTCGGGAAAATGGATATATAAGAGAGAGAGAGGAAATGGAAGCGAAAGATGAGGAATGGGCACGAGGGAATCGGGTCGGGTTTTTTTTTCAGGTGCAGAGATTGTACAGCTCAAGTTCGCAGGCGATGTTGGCCCAGGAATTTGAAATCAATTGTTTGGACTCACCGTGATTGCGCCGGCGGGGAAGGACGGCGGCGGCGGGAGGAGGAGGTGGAGAGGGACACGTGGATCGGTGTTGATTAGTATGCGTGGATGATGGTCTCGGCCGTCGGTGACCGACAGTTGGCACAGAGTGGGAAGGAGAAAGAAGGTAGGGAGGAAGGGACGTTGTAACGGGATTAATGATTACTTCTCGAGATACTATTTGGTAGTTTTTGGGATTAAAATTAAGGCAAAGTACAGTTGTATAGCCATAACTTTCACACTTTTGACAGATATAGTCATTTCTATTCGAAAACCACAAATAGCCCAAAAAATGGAGGGTAGTGTGACAAATCTAGCCAAAACCGTTAGAAACTTTAACACCGTCTGCGACTCCGTTAAATCGATTGACGGAACGCTGACGAGGACGAAAACCGACCTCCACATCATTGACACATCAGCAATACGTACACGTGGAATGCCACGTAAATAATTCAAAAAAAATTTAATTTATATATGTTTTATGTCCTGTGCATTCTCCCTCCCAAAAAACCCAGATCGAGATCCCTCTTTTGATTTCCCAAATTTGCCTTTTCCCATCTTCCCAAATCCACAAACCCAGCCTTCCTTTCCCCAAAATCCCTTCATCCTTCCGACGCAATCTTCACTCCGTCTCCCCAAACTTGCTCCAAGAGCTCTAGCTGCCACGACGGTGTAGTTCCGGCTGCATTTTCGATCTCCTAGATCTACTATTACAATGAAGCAGAGAGAGATAGAGAGAGGTAACTCATCGTGAACTGGGTGATTCGATTAGCTCGCATCACCTTCTAGGGAGGCGGCGACGTTAAGACTCGAGTCGGCCACAACCTTCTCTTCCTCCCTCGTCCGCCATTAAACCCAGAAAATCAAAGAAAAACTCAGATCCAACTTGTCAAAGCAGAATCAAATGAAAACCCCAGAGAAATTGACACACAAGATAAAAAATAGCCTCTCACCTTTGTCGTCGTTGTCAAACGGCGTCGCCCCTCGTCGTCGCCAATAGCTGGAGTCAGGCTTGATTTGGGAATCTGGGGATTTTCCTTGTCGGTCAGTTGGGATTACGGGTGGAGGGACTTGAACTCATTGAGCTGCTCAGAAACTAGATCTGGAAACCAGATCATTGGATTCCCTCACCTGCAGATGTTGAATTACATGGTGGCAATCACTGCGATTTCGTCGCAGTTCCAGATCGGGTTCTTCTTCCTGGTTTGAAAAAAATCCCTTTCGTTTCTCACCACCGAACCCATCCTCCATAGATGCTGATTGGGCGAAACTCGAGGAAGCAACATCAGCTGCAAGGGGGAATCGATAGCAGATCTAAATTCATTCAGAGCAGTTGCCTTGAGTTTTCTGATTCGGAATCGATGGCAGATCTAAATTCATTCAGAAGGGTTCGATGGCTGCCGCGTCGGTGTCGTTGGGCCATATCCCTGCATCTGTATTCTTCTCTTCTTTTTCGTTGAAGGTAGGGAAGTAGGCGACGGCGGCTAGCGGTCGGAGAGAGCGGAAGAGGGGGGTGAGGCCGGTGAGATGAAGCGGCAGCGGAAGAGAAGAAGATTGGAAGCATCAGAGGCAAATTAGGAGGGAATAAGAGGCGGTGGAAGAAATCCCAATTCAGGGGAAGATATTTTTTTTGTTTTTTTTTTATTTCAATTTTTATTGTTAATACACGTCAGTTAGCAGGGACAATAAATCGCCAGATCAACATCTTCCGTTAGTACAGTCATACCGTCAACTGACGCCGTTACCAAAATGGACGGAATTGGCTATTTGTGGTTTTCGAATAGAAATGGCTATATTTGTCAAAAGTGTGAAAGTTATGGCTATACAGGTGTATTTTGCCTAAAATTAAATTGAACTAAATATTGGATTATACATTTGTTAATTTTTGGGATTAGAGGCCGCAGACCAGACGGTGGCAAATTAACGGATCAATCAGGGCGGGGATGCGATTTGCTTCATAAACTAAAATTGTTCATCTTCGTTTTTGCAATCGCGTTCATCAATTTAATTTTTTTTTTATATTGATAAGATTATTTTTCCTCCCATTTCAAATTTCCTGCAACGAGACATTTCGGTCTTCACAATTACTATTTTTTATTCATTAAAAAGACACATACTGGGATTCGAACCATGTCCATTTTAAAGAAAAGCAAGGAACATAACCAATCACACTAAGTACATTTGTTGTATCTTTTTAAATCAAAAACATATAATAGCAGGGAGGAAAAACCCTTCCCCCATTTCAAATTCCATGCTCCATGAGCGTTTGTAGGAAGGGTAGAATAGGGAGTGCCAATTTTTTTCTCTTTCCTCTGTGGGACGGGCCAACTTACCGTACACATGCGGATTTAAACGGGTCCAGGAGTGTCAATTTTTTTCTTTAAGCCCTTTTATTTCTCCGTGGTGATAAAATATATATGGAAAGGCAAAAATAATACTCCTTTTTATTCCTAAAAATAAAAACATTTAACAATAAACTAATGCATAGTATCTAATGGACTAACCGCTAACCATAAAATAAAAGAGTTGAATGGGCCTGACCTACACGGGATTTGGCCATCAAGTCAAATAAATGAACATCATTGGTTTGTCATTCTAAAACAAGCTATTTTCTCTGACATAATATATATTATGCTAATTTATAATCACATGGTTCCCTGATACCCGATAAAAATCTCAATCCAAACCAGTTTGGCAGGTGAGTCTGTGTTTACGACCATTTTCTAGGAATACGACAACGGCGGTTCCTATCCCAAATCGTGTTGTTCGTTCTTGATTTCCTTAGATTTTATCATGGCCTAACAAAAACCAGAAAGCACAATGACGCAAGATGAAAGTTGTATAAAGCAAATTAATCAACCAACGGGCCGAGTAAAAGCTAGCAACGATTGTGAGATGCCCATTTCCCGAAAATCGACGGGATAGGCGATTTTTTATTCGATTTTCTAGAATTCGGTTTCTATAAAAATTACTCCACCTCATCATATTACCAGAAACAATATTGTTTCACAAGGTAACATGTACTTGACTTTGGTTCATAAGGACGATTTTTGATTCATTGCATCATTCATGTCTCTTTCCTACTAAAATTCACTATTTTTATCACGAGTTTTTTTTAAAAAAAAAACTATACAACAATAAGCTATACACCCTATTATATTATCAAATTTCATACCTCATCTTCCTCCGGCCAACTGGCCGAGACCCATGCTAGTAGTAAATAAATGACTAGGGTACTAATTCGCTTTTGAGTTATCTTGATCCATTTATTAAGAAAGGACAAAGGAGATTAAATGAAATCAATATATTGGATCCATATTTCTCACAATTTCTACTAATGGACTCGTCTCATCGTTAATCTTGATTATTTGGATTGGACGTATTATGGTGGCGGGGACAAACAATCGTTTCTTTTCTTTAATTAAAGGGGGACAAAAAAGATTAGGGATTAGGTTAGGATTCAGGACTGTCTTATGGCCACCAAAAAAGGCTAAAATTAAGTATCCTATCCTAATGCCAACGGGCACGGCCGAATTCGTTTCAGCTGGGCGGAGGAAAAGAAAAAAACTGGAGGTAGGCTGAAGGGAATAATTAATCATATGTTAATCCATCATTACCACCTGATTATTATAAGTACGCGAAGGCCCCACTTACCAACTAGGGTGATTAGTGCAACGCCAAAACTAAGGCCGGAAATAGAGGAAGAGGCATTCACGTCCTTCCTTTCATCCTCTACTTATTGTTCTTCGGGGTGGGATACTATGCTAACCCCTAAAGGGGTAGTGATTTTCGACACCCCCTTTATGATTGGCCAATTTTATTTCCAATCATTGGCAAGTATTAATTAAACTGGTTTTTTATTTTTTTTAATCTTGTAATTTGGGTTCTCTCACCCACATTGGAAAGGGAAAGAATATGGGGAATCAGAAAAAAGCTCCCCCCCCCAAATGTGCAATTAATTGCCTTTTTTTCTTCTTTTCGTCTCCTTCTCTCTCCATTTGGGCCCTCTTTCCATTTTGATTTCATTTTAACCAGAACCCTCCTCTACTCTGAAACGACCAAAACCCTCCAGCGCCTTCCCCCACCACCATCCTCCTATCTCCAGCTGCCGCCATCCTGGGATCGCCTCTGACCTATCTTGTGGATTGCTCGCACCAGTGGAGTGGTACGTGTACCAGTCGAGTGGTACGTGTACCAGTGGAGTGGTACGTGTACCAGTGGAGTGGTATTTGTATCATTGGAGTGGTACTGCATTGTTGCTCCGTTATTGTTTATCATTGTTATGAAAAATATCATTGCACTGGTATTGTTCTCACTCTAACCTACCTTGTGGATTGCTCGCACCAGTGGAGTGGTACGTGTACCAGTGGAGTGGTATGTGTACCAGTGGAGTGGTACGTGTAATTAATATACCAGTGAGAGAAATTAATTATGTAATTAATGGGGGTGATTTCGTTTTTCCCCAGATTCTTTCTCTTTTCCAATGTGGTGAGAGACCCCAAATTACAAGATTAAAAAAAATAAAAAACTAGTTTAATTAATACTTGCCAATGATTGGAAATAAAATTTGCCAATCATAAAGGGGTGTCAAAAATCACTACCCCTTTAGGGGTAGTCAAGCTAACCGATCCCTTGTTCTTCTTCTCACAACGAGAAAACGTTGCCCTGTTTAGTTGGGGAGGGGCGCCATTTGGCCCTGCAGCCTACAGGCAGCACATCACTCACTCTCCCCTTTATTTTTGTGATGTGCCATAAGCCATAACCATTCATCAATATGTCAATTCCAAGTGTCTTTTTATAAGGACATTGAATGGGGGGCCATTGTCAAAGACTCAATATCAATGGGTAGTATACATTCTTCAATTATTCGATTTATTAAGATAATTGGTTTACCGTTTACCACATCGTATTAGAGTTGGTTTGTCCTTGAAGATAAATGTGAAAGTCTTTACGACCTCTAATATTAATCAGTGTCTTTAAAATATATGGCTTGATGGGTTTGTACAAACGTCAAGCCAATGAGTTGAACTAAATATTGGATTAGACATTTGTTAATTTTTGGGATTAGAGGCGGCAGACCAGATGGTGGCAAATTAACGGATCAATCAGGGCGGGGATGCGATTTGCTTCATAAACTAAATTGTTCATCTTCGTTTTTACAATCGCGTTTGTTTCCCCAGCGAAACCAAATAACACCATCGGTGCCGAATTTGTTTTCGGCGATGTTGATTTGATGTTTCGCGACGGAAACTTTTGCGGTGTCGTTTGATCGAACGCACAACTGATTGTTGAAATCAACGTGACCGTCAAATATCCACCGCCGGGCGTCGGGCGATGTTGATTTGATCGATGCACCTCTGAATGCTGAAATCAACGTGACCGTCAAATACCCACCGCCTAGCGATGTTGATCTGATCGATGCACCTCTGACTTCTAACCAACGCGACCGTTACTACGGTTCGAACCTCTCCAAACTACGTCCGAACGAGGGTGTTTGATTTTTGGGGAATCTACGTTATGACTACTCCTATGAAGATTCCTGTGGAAAGCTCCGCGACTACGACTAAGACTACAACTAAGGAGATCCTTCCTGGAAGGAGAGCTCCGCGAATGAGTTACAGAGGAAAAGGTAAGTTTGGAACAGAGTTGTCCTGTGTTGATTTCGTTGTCCTCTCTCTCTCTCTCCTTGCATGATTGATTTTAACAAATCACTTCCGTAGTCTTCACGCTCTGAAACCGCTTCGCTTTTTTCTCCCACGTGCTACATCCTTCTTCACGAAGTTGTAGTCTTCAACCGCCTCGCATCCGTTCTCCAATCTTGCTTGCATAAAAGTCACGTGCAAACCACATTAACTTTGTACCATGGTTCGATCACGATACCGCCATCAATTAAAACAACGTTGTTATTTCACCCTCGCCACCGCGTACTCGCCGCTAGATTGTTGATCTCTAGGCATCGTTGGCAACACAAAGTCGAAACTCGCAGCCTCGCTGAACTCCGCGATATTGTTTTGGCCTTGCGACACCGTTGAACTTCGTGGCATTGTCGACCTCGCAACGCCGCTGGATTCGCGACCACGATATTACTTTCCACCGTAATGTTGTTTAGCTCGCGGCACTGTCTCACCACCGCGATATTGATGATACCTCACGCGATGTCGTTTTCAAACTCCGTGGTGTTGTTGATACCTCTTGCGGCGTCGTTTTCAACTAAATGACACCGTCTAAAATAATCATTAAAAATATTAATTAATTAAACCTGGGCGACTTTGAATTCGCGTTGGACTTGGCGGCCTTGGACCAAGCACTTACCCGATAGGGTTTTTAACTAACGGTGCTTACAAGGCATTGTTGATACTTCTCGTGGTATCATTTTTTACCAAACAACACCGTTTCCAGTCTCGCGATGCCGTTGAGCTTTGAGCTTCGTTCCACCGTTTTATCTCTTTACGACATTGCTTGACTCCAAACGGTACTGCTTCTCTCCTCCTCCGATAAGGAATGAAAAAAACACTCCTTTTCCAACAGCAACACAAGTCCTGTGGCCCATGACTCACACATTGTTTTCTAGTAAACAATGTCGTTTCAAGTACTGCGGTGTCAGCGAGCTTCCTTGCGGTGTCGTTTACACTCTCCGCGACATTGCTCGATTCCGAACGACACCGTTTTTTATCATGCGACATAGAATTAAATGCCGAGACTCATTAATACAGTATTTAATTAATCCAAATTAATTTTAGGTGTAAACAACGTTCATAAATATTAAAATATTTATTTTTATATTGATAAGATTATTTTTGCTCATGAGACGGTACTATATTATAGATAAATAGTAAATAAATGACTAGGGTACTAATTCGCTTTTGAGTTATCAAGTGACGATTGATCCATTTATTAAGAAAGGACAAAGGAGATTAGATGAAATCAATATATTGGATCCATATTTCTCACAATTTCTACTAATGGACTCGTCTCATCGTTAATCTTTGATTATTTGGATTGGACGTATTATGGTGGCAGGGACAACAATGCGTTACTTTTCTTTAATAGGTTAATATTTTTGTATGGCCTGAACTTTGACCAAAATAAATATTCTGGCAAATTTTTTCGATCTATAACATCTTGGCACGAAGTATACACCAAAATAAACAATTTGGCCAAACCCGATGTTTGACCGTTAACTTGGGCGGTCAAACGCGTTGACTAACGGTCAATGTGCCACGTCACTGCCAAGTCAGATGATCTGATAAATATTTAATTTTTTTTTGTTTTTTATTTTTGGTTTAACTAAGGTATTAGATGATTTTTTTAATTTATAATAATTTAAAGTTAGGGAATGTGTGGAAATTGTGAATTATTTTAAATATTTTATGCTGACTTGGCAGTGACATGGCGCGTTGACTAACGGTCAACACGTTTGACCGTCCAAGTTAACGGTCAAAAGTCGGATCTGGCCAAATTGTTTATTTTGGTGTATCGTTCGGGCCAGGATGTTGTAGATCGAAAAGATTGGTCAGGATGTTTATTTTGGTCAAAGTTCAGGCCATACGAAAATATTAACCCTTTTCCTTACCGCCGAAAGGTAAATAGTTTGTAAAGAGAGAAGTTGATTTTTTACCTCTTCGGATGATAATCGCTCTGGTGCACGTCTTTTATTCCCTCACTCCACAATGACTTCAGATCATCAATGAGTGGTCGCAGGTAGACATCAATATTGTTTCCTGGACTTTTCGGACAAGGAATGAGTAATGTCAATAATAGATATGGACTCTTCATGCATAACCACAGTGGGAGATTATACGGGAACAGAATTACCGGTCAAGTACTATGCTTGTTATTCATGTTGCCAAATGGATTGAAGCCATCCGTTGCTAAATCCCAATCAGACGTTACCAAAAGATGCATCATACTGGTCCAAAACTCACCAAGCTTCACCGTCAGCAGGGTGCCTTAATTTGCCATCTCTGACACGTTGTTCGCTATGCCACACCATATCCTCCGCAGTTTTTCGCGACATGAATAAGCGTTGTAATCTTGACTTTATGGGAAAATATCTTAGTATCTTGTAGGGCACCTTGGTGACTCTTCCCCTACTATCCTTCCTGATTTTCTTGAACCTTGGTTTCTGGCAAGAAGGGCATGTAGTTGCTCCTTTGAGCTCCCCGTAGTAAATGACACAGCCATTTTCACAAGCATCTATTTCTTCATAATTTAGCCCAAGGCCACTCAACATCTTTTTTGCTTGATAGTAATTCTTCGGCATTGTAGTCTGTGCCATAGGGAAAGTAGATCGAAGAAACTTCAATAATTGAGTAAAAGAGGTATTACTCCAAGAATTGAACCACTTCAAATGCATCATCTTCACCAGGCATGACAGACTGGATATCTTTTCATCACAACCTTCATACAATGGCGTCTGAGAATCTCTGACCAGTTTGAAAAACCGCTCCGCCTCTGCATTGGGATTCTCAGGGTCAGGATCCAAATGCGGTCTCAAATAATTCAGTAACCCCGGTATGTCATCTACATCCATCTCATTACCATCGTCTACAGCATCCTCTGCATCCTCCTCTTCAGAATAATCATCGTCTGATTTCTCACCATGGTAAATCCATTTAGTGTAATCACGTGACATTCCTCGTCGTAATAGATGTAGCTCAACTTCTCGTTTTTCCCTTCTTATAACATTCCGACAGTCCACGCCAGGACACTGTATTTTGTTGTCTTCGTCTTGGATATTGGAGTATGCAAATGCGATAAAATTTTGAGTGCCATTCGCATACTCCATAATTGATCTATTACGAAGCTGCATCCATGATTTATCAACACCTTCCATAACCTACAAAAAATGTACAATATATTTTTAATTATTGCCACTTGCTTAAATGAAATATAAAATCAACAATATATATATATATATATATATATATATATATATTATTGCAATTCAATAATTTTATTAAATGTTTATTAACAACAAAATATAAATTAAAAAGCCTACATAATCATCTGCTCCTCTTCGCTTCAAAAAAACACTTTTATTTTTATTTTGTAATGTCAGCTAATCAATTAACACTATAATTTATTCTCAATAAATTAAAATGGAGAAAAAAACACTCCATCTTCCCCTCTCCCCTCCTCGCATGCACTCTGTTTACCCAAACCCTTAATCGATTTCATTTTTCATCACTTACCCATAAGATTGTGGCGATTTCAAGTATGTCGATGATGGAAGATTGGGGGGCGCGGAGGAGATGACGACGATATTTCCAGTCGCTGCGGCAGTTGGTGAACTGGGGTGCGCGAAGGCGACGTCACGGCAGCCGTTGATTGCTACGATCGGCCGACAGCCTGAGCAGCGTGGACGACGCGATGCAGCGGGAGCCCAATCCTCTGGTGGGTCTAGGTTTCGCGGCGGATTGCGAATCGAGAGAGACGAATGAGGGCATAGAGGCGATCTTTATTCGCCGAAATCTGGGTTCCTTCGCCTTTCTTAGTCGACAGAATATAGGTTTGTTTGCTTTTTCTTTCGATTGGATGTGTACAAGCAAATCAATTTATATGCATAGATGTGGATTTGAATGTTGCGGTTTGATTTCCTCAATTGCAGGCGTAAATCGAACATGCATGCACCCAGAAAGCATCTTAGAACTCTATGAGATTGGGACTGAATCGGAATTCCAAGTAATTAGTTCGTTCTTTGCACAATGGTGTCTGTTCTGAGTTAATTCAGTGGCTTTTACTTTGATTTGGTCAATGAATGTGGGTTGTTCATCCATGGTGCAATTCTTGTGGACATTTTTAAGCTAAGTTGAGGTGCCAAGTTTGTCGAATGATGATCCATGGGGTCTGTTTTTGGTTCGTTTTCTTTGCAATTTGGTTCATTGTTCATTCTTGTAATTAGTTCTGTTCAATCCCCCCTAATTTGTCAATTATTGGTCATTCATGTAATTAAACCTTAATTGAAAAAAATGAATTAATGCGTTAAATGAGTAAAACGACAGAGAGGGATCTCTGGAACGAGATTTTCTCAGAAAAGGTAAAGAACCATAAACATGCTCTGCCTCTTCGTTAGCCTAAAAAAAGGCGGGATTTTTTCCCTAAATGAGTAAAACGGCAGAGAGGGATCTCTGGAACGAGATTTGCTCAGAAAAGGTAAAGAACCATAAACATGCTCTGCCTCTTCGTTAGCCTAAAAAAAGGCGGGATTTTTTCCCTTGTTTCCCACCACAACACAATAACTACACAAAAACACGCTTCATTAATAATCCCTAGTATCCATAAACACGCTTCAGTAGGCAGAGCCAAATAAAGGAACCCAAAAGCCTTTTCTTCGTCATCTGCCATTCCCTCATCTCTGCCATTCCTCTCCTCCCTCTAACGAATTCTGCTTCTCACTAGATGGCAAAGCAAAAGAAACTCCTCCGTTCTCATAGCCAGAGGGAAGAATCTGCACCTCGTTCACCTGTGCAGAGCAACTCTCCCTCTCCGCCTCTTGTTTCAGAGAATCAGGAAGAAGGACAAGGTGGCAGGAACACCAATCCGCCTGTTCCTATCAGTGAAACTCCGAGAATGGAGCAAAGGTCCCCTGTTACTAGATTGGAAGGAGAAACAGAGCAGGTTGATTTGACTGCTCAACATTCAGCTGCGGACCTGCTGTCATCAGAGGGTGGAAGTTCGAATGGTTAGTTTCATTGTGTGGTTTTTTTTATTTCGATTGGCTTACATCTGTCTTTGTATTGCAGCTGACTATAAGTTCTGACCTTGTGGTAGGGCCGACCTAAAAAAGAAAAGGATGAGGACTAGGAAAGGGTGTAAAGCCTGGACACAACCTGCCCCTGGAATTTCACGATAACAGGTCTGTAATATTGTTCCTTGGAATTTTTTGCACAACCTGTCCCTGGAATTTTTTGCACAACCTATCTCAAATCTTTCATGATAACCTGTCCATGTACTCAGTTTACTTAGTTTGATACTTCTTTATAAACTGTGCATGATAATTACCACTCAAGCAGCCCGTGAAATTTCAGCTATCTTCAAAAGGAGCATCAATGGGCCTTGGATTACGTTCTCAGAGTATCCTGCATCAGAACTCGAGACTGTGATAGCTCGTTTCAAGGACTCAGGATTCACTACACTGGGTCAGAAGAGACTTTCAACGATATGGTCAGAGACCACGTGAAGAGAAACTTTCCCCAGTGGATGTATGGTCTCCGAGACCGAATTTTCAAGAAGTATAAGGATCTGAATCAGAGAATGAATCATCCAACACCGCAAATTACTCCATCAATTTGGAGGGAGATGGTTCAGAAATGGACCAATCCGAATTGGGTGGTAAGTTAAGTGGGTGTATGCTTTGGTGTTTGTCTTTCATCCTAATATGTTTTTAATGGTGAGCTTATTGTTTGTTGTTTCGAATTCAAGGAAATGAGTGATAAGAATAAAGGGAATCGGGAGAAGAGTGAGCTTGCAGCCACTGGCGGTTCAGCACCGTTGGCCAAGTACAGACATGTAGAGGTAAGTTCTGCACTATTGCTAATGTTTATGTTAGGATTCAAGTGTACTTTGTTTACATGTGAATGCAATTTTTCTTTTTAATTGATTGGTAGATAAAGAAAATTGTAAAAGAACCCGATCCGATCGAGATGTTTAGACGTTTCCATGTGAAGAAGGACAAGAACTGGGTTTCGTCAAAAGCAAAAACCCTGCATGTAAGTTAAATAATGTTACGGAGTATTAGGCTGCTGTTTGTACTCGATTTTGTTGTCTTTTTTATTGATATTGATGTTGTTTATAGAGTATTAGGCTGTTGTTTGTACTCGTTTTTGTTGCTTTTTTATTGATATTGATGTTGTTTACTCCATGATTAGGATGGAATGATACAAGTAGAGGCTGAAAAGGTATCCCAAGGGGAAGAACCAAACAAATTTGCCATCTATCAAGAAGCGATCGAACCACAACTCCCAAAGCGTGTTCTAGGGATGGGCCATGGGGTGAGCTCGGTTGATGTCTTCGGTCCCCCATCGAGTCAAGGTAGTCAGGGTTGTAGCAAGCGTTGTCAGGAGGATCGAACCAAAGAAAGGGGAAAAAATGATGAGAAAATGAAGAAGTTGGAGGATGAGATCATAGATGTGAGGAATGCAGTCCCTCACATTGTTGAATCTGTCTTGCAGAGACTTGGAGTGCGGCTGCCCGAGTCATTCGACATAGTATGTATTTTGCTATCATGTTTTAGTTTTTACTCATTACATAATTTTCGAAGCTATGGCTAATTTATTGTTATATTCTATGTAGGATCTCAACAGTGAAGCAAATGGGGAACAAGGTCGAGTTGGGGAAACTCAGGGTAACGATGTGGCCGACGAAGAGTCCGATGAGGAGACTGCCGAGGAGATTGCTGCTGATGCATGAATTTCTTTTGAATGCTATCGTAGGATTCTAAGTATCGCTTGACTTTGGGATATTTTGTGTCATTTTCGGAGGATATTCTGCCTTTTGAAGTGTAGATGTTTGGTCGTAGCTGATGGCTACTTGTTAGACAGTTTGAAAGTTAATTTTGGAATATGCATAACTTTGTTTGGATGATTTGTTTGTGTTGTCATCACTAGAAGTGTAATGGCGTCACAAATGAAATTTGATCAAGCAATTAGCAACAAATGTCGTCGTCGTTAATAGATATAATTGCACAATTGACAATAATTAAGCGTCATTAGTAAATGTAGTTTCTCCGACGGCGTGTTGGAAAAGATAATTTTTGGTGATAATTACCTGTCCTCTGTAAATATATTTTTTCCAATGACACGTTGGAAAAGATTTTTTCCGACGATAAACATATGTCCTTAGTAATATAAATATAACCAACGACACGTAGGAAAAGATTTTTTTAATGATGAATAGTTGTCATCGTAAATAAAAATTTATCCAAAGACACGTTGGAAAAGATTTTATTTACGATGAATAGTTGTCCTCGGAAATAAAAATTCTTCCGGCGACACGTCGGAAAACATAGTTTTAACGACAATTTATTGGCATCAGTAAAATTTATATTTTTTTACTAAACGTCGGTAATAATATATTAGTGACGCATACACATCCTCAGAAATGTATGTACAACGTATAAAAAAAAGTTCGGCCTCAAATTCTGGTCGCAAATAGTTATTTTTGATGAATTATGGATGTTAGTATAATTAGTATTTATGACGTCTCGTCAGAAAAATGGTTTACCTACAAACATAATGCGTCAAAAATAAATTAAGCTGTCGTCATAAAAAAATTTCGTCAAATTCATCCGTCATGAGTGATTTCTTTTGTGATGTTGACACGCTAAAACACACCACCAAACTGCGACCAAGTGTAATCCCAGTCCGGGAATGCAGTAAAGTGGCAAGATCTATTATCAACCCGGGGTCTAGATCTACTGCTTACTCCGTGATTATCTATTATCTAGCCAACTAAGTCAATTGATTGTTGTTTTAAGCAAAAGCAGTAAGAAAGCAGGAATTGGTATGGTTTTCTCAAGCAAAGAAGAGTCACTCGTGAATGAGTCCCCCTAGCTCCTTAGTTAGGTCTCAATTGTAATTACCCTGGGTTGATTTACTGTTGGTTAGACTGCGGAAGATCCGACAGTAGCTTGGAATCTCTTAAGCTGACCAAGCCTCTCAGTCTAACTACCCGGCAGACGACTAGTCTTCACCGGGATAGAAAGCTGAAGCAATAAGCACAGAACTCCACTACTGGAATTGGATTCCAGTACAAAGCAGTAAACTGGCTAACTCTTGTATAACCAATCTCCTACTACCGAATGATGAAGCTCTAACAACCTAATCAGATTCTATCTATCTCAGGTTGTAGCAGAAATCAAGAAAAGCTGATCAGACTTCAATCAATTCAATAAAACATGCATCATTTGATTAAAACCAAACAGTATAATCATCCCAAGTCATTACAATCAAATCCCTAACACATGGAACTAGGGTTCTTCATACCCAAGTGAGAGAAGGGTTCTACTCCATAGAGAGAGAGAGAGGAAAACAGAATACAAAGCAGTCATACTCATAACAATGGGAAGAATCTGCTCTAGGATGATGATTTCCACTCCTATGACGATCTCCAAGCTCGATTTGATGAAACCCAGCTCCAAGATTGCTTCTAGGATGTGTTCTTCGTACTTTCTCTCTCTAGGGCTCTGTTTTTGCTCTCAAAAATCGATTTCCTCACTTGTGGCCCGAAATTGGGTAAAAACCAGAAAATCCCGATCACACGGGCAGGCCACACGGCCGTGTGGCATACCCAGTTGCCCGTGTGAGACACAAAATGCGGCGTTTACAATAATTGCACTTCAGGCTACCTACACGGCCAGGGACACACGGCCGTGTAGCTCACCCAGTCTGCCCGTGTGAAGCCTCGCATAATCCCACACGGCCACATTGCTCCTTCACACGGCCATGTGGTATGTATTTGTGCCCGTGTGAAGGCTCGCATAATCCCACACGGCCACATTGGTTACTTGCACGGCCGTGTGGGTTTTGTGTGTGCCCTCGCCTTTGCAGTCTGGCAAAGTTAGATCTTCATGGGTCGGATTCCTCGACTGTGTTTGCTGTGAGTTGGGGATTTGCGCCTCCAGGTGATCATTCGGCGTTTGCTGTGTGCTTGGAGAGACCTAAGTTTCATCGATCTTCGGCGAGTGAGATTATTTGCTATTTTTGTCGAGAGCCGGGTCATGTTCAACTTCATTGTCCTAAACGTAACTCCTGCAATTATTGCAAGGCAGATGGACACAAAATTGGAGCCTGCCTTATTTTGGCTCGGCGTGGGCGTGGACGTGGTGCTCAGGGGTCCTCTTCTTACCGTCCGCCGCCAGCTGGAGCTGCTTTTGAGAGACCTTCTGTGCATCTAGATTCGGCGGTATTTAATCACATGACTAGCTCATGTGACTCATTTAGCACTCTTCAGTCTGCAAGCTCTATTAGATTACAGGTTGCCGATGGGGCATGTTTACCTGCTAAGGGGATTGGTGTGATTAGTGGTCCCAGTCTTCATCTTCCTGACACACTTTATGTCCCTAAATTAGTACCTAATCTCGTCTCTGTGGGGCAATTAGCTGAGAAGGGTTGTCGGATTGTTTTTGATGCACATGGCTGCATTGTGCAGGACAAGAGAACAGGGAAGGAGATAGGCAGCGGGAGTAAGCTTGGCCGAGTGTACACTCTGGATTGGTTGACTGGTTCTCATGGCTCGATACTTCATGGTGCTGGTGCTGGTCTGGAGGAGGTGCATAGGGTAGGCAGTTTGGCCGCAGGAGATTCTCCTGTTATTTGTTCGGATTTGGATTATTCTGTTGGTTTTTCAGATTCTGATGTTAAGACAGTTGGTTTTTCGGTTAAATTGTCCAATTGGGACTTATGGCACCGTCGTCTGGGCCACCCTCACTCTGCACGTTTGATTGAGATGTTTAAGAATAAGTTGTTATCGGGTTCTTACACTTCAGATTGTTCTAGTACTTGTGTGCACTGTGTGGAGGCTAAGTTATCACAGCAGTCATTTGGATCCAGTTCTACCATTTATTCAGAACCGTTTGACTTAGTTCATACAGATTTATGGGGACCCTCTCCAGTCCTTTCACGTATGGGTTTTCGATATTTTGCCTTGTTCGTGGATCATGCCACACGTTTTACGTGGGTCTATTTTCTTAGGCAAAAATCTGATCTCCTCGGTGCTGCTACTGAATTTCTGCAAATGGTTCACACTCAGTTTGGGCAAATTGTGAAGGTGATACGTTCATATCCGGTGGTGAGTTTACTTCTGGTCCTTTGAATGAACTTTTTAAGGCTCGTGGGATTCTTCCTCAGCAGTCATGTCCAAGAATGTCTCAGCAAAATGGGTTGGTTGAACGAAAGCATCGGCATGTGCTCGAACTCACACATGCCATTCTTTTTCATTCGGGTGTTCCTTCGAGTTTTTGGGTGGAGGCAATTCATACCATTGTGTATCTCATCAACCGACAACTGACTCCAGTCCTGTCTCATCGATGTTCTTATGAGGTTCTCTATAACAGGCGTCCTAATTATAACTGGTTGAAGGTTTTCGGTTGTGTTTGCTATGTATTGTTGCCTCAGCGGGAGCGTAACAAGCTTGTACCCAAGGCTATTAAGTGCGTGTTCATTGGGTATAGCGATAAACACAAGGGTTACGTTTGTTATGACGTAGCTAATCGGTGTATTCGGGTGTCCTGTAATGTTGCTTTTATTGAACATCTGAACTACTACGATGCGAAGGGTACCAGTACACATGATGATTTGAGCTTTCTTGTTCCTCTGCCGACCTTCCCTGATTCTCCAAGTAATGAGGATGGTTCTCATAATGATGATGATGATGATGATCCCCACACTCCCTCTACTGCCGGACGGTCATCTCCAGGAATCACTGAGGCCTTGTCTTCTTTGGCCTCTTCTTCTTTGAGCTCGTTCGCCAGCTCATCCACATCTTACTCCTCTGCTACGACCTCCTCGTCCTCTTCAAGTTCTGCTACCATTGATCTTGATGCTTCGCCTTCCAGTCCACCTCCAGATCCTCCTCCCCCGGCAGCCTCCTCCCCGCCTAGGTGATTTTCTTGCTTTTTCAACCACTCCCATCATCATTCCAGTCACTTATAAACAGGCATGTGGAAATGCGGATTGGGATGAAGCCATGGCTGTGGAAACTAGAGCATTGGAAGCTCAACACACATGGGATCTTGTTCCTCATCCTGTTGATCATCCCTTTATTGGCTCACGGTGGGTGTACAACGTGAAATTACATCCCGATGGATCCCTTGAACGGTTCAAAGCCCGGATTGTAGCTCAAGGTTTTTGTCAGAAATTTGGAATTGATTATGAGGAGACTTTTGCTCCGGTGGAGAAGATGCAAACTGTTCGCACACTGCTTGCTGTTGCTGCCATGAAAGGCTGGAGTTTGACGCAGTTGGATGTAAAAAATGCTTTTCTGCATGGAGATTTAAAGGAGACTATTTATATGGAGTGCCCTCCTGGCTACTCCAAAGATAAGTCACAGGTGTGCTTGCTTCATCGTTCTTTGTATGGGTTGAAACAAGCACCGCGGGCTTGGTTTGAAAAATTTCAGAGTACTGTTTTGCAGGCGGGATTTCATCAGAGTGATAATGACCCCTCTCTATTTTTACGTCGTACTTCTCGTGGTCTTACTGTGCTTCTTCTCTATGTTGATGATATGGTTATAAACGGGGATGATCAGGAAGGGATTCGGTTACTTACAGGTGTGCTTCGAGATGCTTTTAACCTTAAGGAGCTTGGTGATCTGTCATATTTCTTGGGACTTGAGATTCATCGGTCTGCTGCCGGATTGCTAGTCTGTCAACAAAAATATGTGGTGGATCTATTAGAACAGGCTAATATGGA